TTAATAAATTTTTTTAATAAACTTTAAAATTTTAAGTTTTACATTGAGCCAAAAAGCGTTCGGAGACTTTTGGCGGGGTCTGTACATGATAATATAGTTGTTCATCAAATCGAGAAATTCCTTCCTAACCTCCACCATATCACTTCCTCGTTATTGTAACACACATTCATATAAACTCTTGTGAAATCGTGATTGTGCCAAATATTGTTGCATTCAATCAACCCTTAATCTCGCTGCTCTTTAGTTGACCAGTGATAGTTTGGTTCGTCCCCGTATGTAAGGTAGACAGTCCAAACATCACGAATACAAAGACTTTTTCTAAGTGATTGAGTATATTTGAATTGATGTTGGATGTCCAGGCCAATTCGAAGGTGCTGTGATCAACAATTCACTATTGGATTTTTGTGGTATTGACTCATAACTTCGAATCCACCAACAAGCACTTATGTGAATGCAATGTTGCAAACCTGCAAACAGCTTTTCTTGAAGCACTAAGCAAGCCTATAAGTTGATCAGAACTATAGTTGCTGTACATACAATGAATCCCATCCCATCCCATCTCATCCCAAATCCATACTAAATCTCCATATTATATTTAAAATCCTATATCCTGTATTCCAAAATCCCAATTCCAATCCAATTCCCATTTAAAATAGTCATCAAGAAAATTTCAATAAGTTCTAATTAATAGTTGTAATAATTTTTTTTTAAGGAATGGGATTGGAATATTATGGTAACAAGTATATGGACGCTTTGGTATTTTGTTGTGAGGCAGTACTTTAAAATATCAGGTAAGATATTTCACAAGAGTAAGAGTGTGGTGAGAACATATTGAAGGAGTTATTTTGATTGTCAAAACCCATTCCTAACAAATTCAGCTTGTGGCAGAAATTGTAAACGCAAGAGTTCCACAGCGGGTCTTGTTTTCTCCTTGAGAAGATCTTTTCTATTCTCAATATCCATAGATGTTTTTATTCAACTGCGTAATTGTCAAATCAAATTTCGGGAATAATAATTTTATATTTTTTGATACAGTTAAGTTGAATCTCGATCCAATCGAATTTGTACTCTCTATAAACAAACTGTATTGCCCTAAACAATGGCACAATTTGTTCTACAGGTGTATTTACTCTCCCTGATATCATTATCAAGTTTCCTCATTTTTCGATCAAAACCCCACTAAGGAAACCATATTAGCATGTGTAAAGGTCATAGTTTGATTTAATGATTCAACTTTGGCCTGCTGAACCTCTTCAAGTAAATTAGATTCTTCAATAAGATCCGGCCCGCTTTAAACTTAGGTTCCAATTCGAATTTTTCGAAGCCTTTGCACTTGCTCTTGCATTAACTAGGATCTGGAGCAGTTTTGGCACATGACTTGAAATGACCTCAAATGAAATCATTTATTAGAAATTTCAAGTCAAAATTACCAAGGTCATTTGAAAAAAATAGTAAATGACCTCATAAATTTTCTGGAGAGGTTTCCGGATGATGAATGGTGAATCGTAGTTGTATCAGCTCAAGAATAGGACAGTTCAAATCTGCAACCATGGTGTGCTTGATGGTATGGATGCAACCAAGGAACTCATCACGAACATTATTAGTTGCAGCATACGAAGGTGACGGAATTCCATCTGTTAAATGGCGGCAAGCTCACTTCCAGACTTTATAGTTGTGGAGGATAAATAAGGTATCGTTAAGTGTTTGAAGATTTCTTCCTATATGTTCCATAACGTGCTGTGCTGGTGTCAAGATCGTCTGTCATTCATCAATCTTGTAAGGAGGTTTAATAAATCTTATTTCGACGATTTTCAAAGTAATGCTTGGGAAAAAATAATAATAAAAACAAGTGGTTAGCGTATTATTATTAGGATGTGCGAAATAACTTTTTTTATTTTTTTTTTATTTTTTAGTAATTTAGAATTCATATTTACTAGAGTTATGATGCTCCGTTAAATGCTTGCATGGTTCGATATATTTGTGTTGACTTTCCGAGCCATAAACTCGCCTTCTGAGATTCTTATCACCAAACTGTGTTGTTTCCCGACGGTCCTTAGCCCATTATTAAAGACTGAACTGATCGCTCTATTAGTAGTCCAACTTCTGATACTAGTATTGACACAATTCAAAAAATATGATAGTGAGTTTGGGAGACCTGAATAATAAAGTTTCATACTACAAGCTATTACATTTTTTCGTGAACTTACTTTTTCTCTCTCGGACATAAACAATTTTTCCTCCAGAATCAGAAGACCTTTATTAACTTCAAAAGTTAGGGCTCTTGATTTGTTTACTATCAAACTGTCATATCCAGTAATTCTCCTGAGTCAAGATGCGGTCAACTTGGATTTGCCTTCAATATGCAAAAAATTTATCGTTCCAACAGGTGATTCTATTTTTTCAGAAAGTGTCAAAGCCCATGTATTAACAAGAAGAACATTGTGATTGCAGACTTTATTGAAGCAACGGATATCGTAATTAACGCTCAAGATTCCACGATATGATGACTAACTATTTCGTTCTTTTACGACTAAAAGTCAAAAGGATGGTTATCTATTTATTTAGCAAAGAGTGAAGTTTAACGCGAAAAAGTAAGCTATAAGGGTCGTTTGCTTTTTTATTTAAATCGAGACCTATTACATCATAATTACCTAACGTAGCAATGCTATTGTTGTACAAAATTTTATAATTACACTATATTAATTGTTGTCCGGAATTATACTTTCAGTTATGAATTGTCATACTTTTTCTTATTTGTGCCTCTCGCAAGATTATGCATAATAAATAGAAAATTAAATATTACTGAACTTGGGCTATATCGTTATAATATTGAATTTTAGTTAAATGGACTATGTATTTAATAAAATTATTATATTTAGCCGTGATCAATTTGTGATTTGTTGTACCAAAAGTGAATATTAGTATTAATTTTTTTTTTAAAAAAAAAAAAAGAAAAAGACATCAAATAAGCCTTAAGATTAAATCAGGTAACGTTTCGATTATTGATTTATTCTGAATTATTAGAATTACTATTAAAAAAAAGGATTATTTCGGACCTCGAATTCAACTAAGCATTATTAAATAAATTTAAATAGAACGGTGATCTAAAATTATATTTTTAATTTTCCTTCTCGTAAAACGGTTTGCTTCCCCCAATCGCCTGCAAGAAAATACATTGCGTCATGTGACAAAGAGAACAAAGTTATTCCTTCTATTAAAATCTTTTCATGCAATATTCTTATTTTCCTGATCTTTACCTTATTGTTCAGATCATTGAAATTTCGTTTATTCAAATTCTTTGCGGTACAGTTTAATAAAGTGTAATCCAATTCTCAGTTCAAGTCCTTAATGCAAGTATCTCATTCTCTGGGATATTTCATATCGCTCAATTAGATTTCAACCGAATCTCAGTTTCCAAAAAAGTTCCTAGCTTGATTCAATACAGCTGTTCGGGAATATTGACGACTTCAACTTTTTTGAATATGTCAAGGTCATCTTCTTTTCTTTAAATGATCACACCTTTTCGTTTTCAGCTTTTAGAATTGCATTATATCTAAGGGCTAACGCTTATGGTAATTATTTTTTACAATACAGTAACAAAGAGAACTACCACTTTTTTTTAATGCTCTTCCTTACACGAAATTTTGCGACGGTCTCATACAATTATCAATTGTTATTGCTTTACGTGATCCTAAATCCAAGTATAGAGGAAATTTAATGTCAGTAACCACCAAATCATTTTTTTTTCACGAATCTTTAAAAATTCACTTACAACATAAGTATTAACATTTGTAATAAAAGTGAATTGGCAATATACAGTTGGTCGTTGATGTTTTTCAATTGAATTTTCAAATCGAGTTTTGTTATTTTTCTTTTACTTACGAGAAAAACACTATATTTTTCGCAAGAACAAAGACATTCGCATTTCCAAATATATTGCAGATCTTTATAAAAAATACTTTTTTTTTTTGTTGACGATGAATAGACAAAGCTAGTATTTCCATTGTAACATCAATAATCTTGATAAAGGTTTCGCTAAACATCAAATTAACCATCTTGTCAGTAGTTTGCATGCAACCATGATCGTTTGAGGGTTTCTCTGTTTGTATATAAACAAGTACGGGTTCTATTCAAGAACAAGCTTGCATTACTCAATATGTTTGATCAATCCACTTTCTGGGAAGAAATATTATAAATACCGATTGTCCTTGCTTATTTCAACCTTTTCCATGACTTGTGTTACAATATAGTCTGACCAAAAGCATTAAAAGTTGATCCAATTTTCCACCCTAAATATATCCTAGAACGTTCATAATGAACATCCAATGCATTTAATAATGATGAGATGCTGTCAGAGTTGTTGGTTGACATGAATATAATATAGTTGCGGGGCAAATCCCTTGTGTTTCGACGGTACCGTCGAAACTATAATAAACCAATATAAATCTTCAAGGTTGAAAAGATATTTAAAAATCCCATCGAAAGACAAAATTCGAGACTTTTGCCATTTACTAAAACGAGTTTCCACGAACTATAGCCAAGAAGAATTTGAAATTCAATTGATTGATTAGCTTTTAGTTTGTAATTGAATTAAACGAAATATAATGAATTCATACTTACTAATACTCTAGGAAAGCCATGCTGGTGTTACTTTAGTATCAATTTTTTTTTGACTCGTTCATAAATAGTAATACGAATTTTAAGATGAAACGTTCTCGAATGTAGTTAAGCTAAGGTTTTTGAGATTAGTTTGAATATTTCGAAATAAGAACCAAGAAAATGATCCAAATTATTCGTAATTACTTTGGAGTATATCATTTAAGGCAGTTGCTGCAATTATAACAGTTAGGATTTCAACTTTGTGATTGCGATTATGCGTATTCGTGGTTCTTTGAATGTTTCTTTGAATGTTTCTTGTTAATTGCATTTTCACCACTGAATAAAATATAATCTTTGTCATTAGACTCGTTTATATGATTATAAATACAAGCACTCTTTAAACTTCTTACCAAGAATCATCATTGACCTCTGGTGATATTATAACGAGACACAAAATTGTATATAAGCCGATAACACGTAACAATTTATTGAATTTTTTGTCATGTTCGCTGTTAAAACAATTCTTAAGCACTATTAGCAAATTCCTCAGTGCTTTCAAATCCAAAGTATTCGTAGTCCTGTTATTAAGAGAAATAGAACCATTTTGTGAGTTTGATATAAAAAATTTTGATATAAGTAGTACAAATTTCGTGGTAACAATGTATATCCTTTAATTATACAAATTGTAAAAATAAACATTCAAAAAGATAATAAATATTTTGATGGTTGAGTTTCATCATCAGAATCTTCCAATGGGCAACAAATTTCTCAAGTGTCATACAATTCATTTATTCTCAAGATCAATATTATCGATTTCTAAACATAACTTTAAACCGTTCACACCTTTTAAAATTTTTCAAACATAAGTTCTCAAATATGTAATGTAATTACTAAGAAGATGATCGGTAATCTTCGGATTTACAATTAATAAACGATTCAGCTGTGATGAAGAAGATTGGTGATCTCTAATTTAAAGACAAAGCCCTCTTCCAAGTCAAAAGAAGTTGACTTCTACAAATTTTCCTGTAAACAGCCAGTTTTTCAATTTGAATTGAGAACTTAAGTAAAAAAAGAGATCCATCAGATACTTACATAATTTCAAAGGTGATATTTTCGCCAGAGCCATGAATGAATTCAAACATAATGAATTTCTCCCTCTCCTGTGCATTATTGTGTCATGAATAGTACGAGTATGAAATTTTTTCACCAAGTGTTTTGACATAAGTACCTGGTTTAGTACAATCAACCCATGAACTTGAGGTGTATGTTTATGTAATCTTAGAATATCTTATCCTTGTGGCCCCGAGAACTCCTTTGTTAGTCTTTCACTTAATCAACAACCCAAGTAGCTGTCTTTTCATATTTATCAGCCCATAATCCAAATCAGTACAACTGAACAATATATGTATCGATGCTTTCAAATCATCATTTCGAAAATTTTCATCATCTATCCAAAATATTCGGAATGACCGTTAAGTTCGAAACAACCAAAGTCTTTTTGATATAACGACGTACGCATATGAAAAAGTATGATGAATGACAACTTATTAATAAAATATATATACAAACACACGTAGTTTACATAAGTGTCAAAATTTAGAAACAATTATTAATGACAACCTACATTATCTTTCTTCACAAGAATGTTAACTTCAGTTTTGGGAAAACTCATTCATTATATCGGTGAGTCCGTCAAAAAGCTCTTAAAAATGCTGTAAAGAAAAGAATTATTTACAATTGTTTCTATTAAATTAAAAAGATTATGTTCATAATAGCGACAATACATGTAAAACAATTCTCACTGTCATATTTGTTTTAAAGATTTATCCAAGCTATTTCATCGAAACTTTTGAGACCTTTATGTTTGATTCCGATGATTCCTACATCTATAATCCTTCTAATTTCCTATTGAATGATTAGAATTTCTTGATATTCATCTCCGTAATACTTATTTTCTCAGTTAACTTTCTGGAATGATTAAATAATTCTTCCGTTCAAAGTCACTTCAATGATATGAATTGAGCAAAATCCCAACAGTTCAAATGAAGTTTTCGACTTTTATATAATTCTGCTTCAAAAATTTATTTTGATCAATTTTTTTTTTTTTTAAAAAAAATCGAATTTTTATAAAAAGCGTTGAAATAGATCCTGCATTCCATAATAAGCTCAGATTTCCAAAATATATTTGAATATTTCTACCGTGATGTTAGCGATCGTTTGACCGACCGATGACATAATTTAACAGTTTTTGGTTATTAGAAAGCTTCTAATTGAACAAATTATGATAATTTTAAATTTTTACTTTAATTATATCTTGCATAACATGTCTTTTTATTAATCTTTCCCATAAAATTTTTTTCTTATGCTTTATTGTTTATTGGCACAGCTTATCGCGGAATTTAAATTTAAAATTTTTTTTTTATAAATAATTAAATAAAAAATATATTTATTTATTTTTATTTTTTAAAAATTGTTAATTTAAAAATAAGAATGATTCTAATTAAAAAGTGAATCGGTCGGCCAGTAGTATTTGACCGACCGATATCGGTCACGGTTATAACTGGCCATAACCGTGTTCACTAACATTACAAATATCCATTCCTAGCGAAATAACAGACCTGGATTAGATCCTGTGATTTCTGATAGTTACAGGTTCGGAATTTGTAACCATAGCGGGTCTTGTTTTCTACTTGAGAAGATCTCTTCAACATCCCGGCCCAATTCTATGTTCTAATTCGAATTTTCGAAAAGTTTTTACACTTGATCTTTAGATAAATATTCTGGAGTGGGTTTCGGACGTTGAATGGTAAATAGTAATCATTTCTTGAGTTCAGCTCAAGGATTCAACAATGACTACTGAAAGGATAGGATAATTCACATTCGCGGTTATAGTGTTCTTGATAATGCGGAAGCAACCAAGGAGCTCGTCAAGAACCATATGGGTTGATTGCTTGGAAAATCAGGTTCCGGGAATTTTTTAACAAATTTGAGATTTTTAGTTTTTGATGCTATTAGATTAAAATGCATAAAGTTCTTAATTTTAGTTAAATTTTCTCGGAACCTGATTTTGTTAGAAATCTTCCCATATTTTAAGATGGCCATTCGTAAAACTTGCTTCCAAACATCAAAGCTAGACGCTTAAATAAAGAAACATTAAATATTTGAAGATTTCTTTCTATATCGATCCAAAAGCGTGTTGTGCTAGCTTCATTTTCAAAATTATGCTAAGTTAATGCAATTAGACAAATGGTTAAAATATAGTTACTAAGAGAGAAGCGGATTTACTTGAGAAGCAATGACGGTTATGATGGATAAATTTGTGTTCACTTACCGGTGCCATAAACTACCTTTTAAGATTTATTCACCAAATCCGCGTTCTGCATCGTAAAATTTGGTTCTTTGACAATTCTGTTGGTTGTCCACTTCAGAAATTAGGATATTATACTTTTAAATTATTGTGTGGGGAGACCCGAATTTTCTACACGTTTTTACATTTTTTTCCGTAAACTTTCTTTTTCTCTAAGGTTCAAATTAAGGGCGTGCAAATTAATTAAGATTAATAAATATAAAATAGTAAAGACAAGAATTACAACTATAAAATATTTCTTACCGAAATTTTCTTTAACTTCTTGTTTTCGTTTTTCGTTTTTTGAAATTCTATAGTAATAAACATCTAGCTTAGTAAATTATACTTAAACAAGATTTCATTCATGTATTATTTACCTTCTGGATTCTTTGAGCGCCTCTTGCTAGTTATTCTTCAACTTTCACTTTACGTTCTAATTTTACCTATCGTGAGAAATATAATGTTAACAATGCATAGAATTTTCTATAATGTAATAAGAGAAGTACATAACCGATTCCCGTTTAAGGAACAGTAGACTTATTAACAACAACAAAGTTAATGGCGCCTGAATTGAGGACCTGGGGTGGTTACCAAGCTGTCAAATCCAGTAATTAACGTTATAATGAACATATTTAACATTCGTGGCAAGCTCGCGGCTGAAAGCTCCTTATTAATCTCATCAGTGCTTTCGACAAAGTATTCGATATTTGGGAGGGAGGTTTGCTTTAAAATCGTTGTTGCGACATAATTTTAATATCAAACCTCCCATATTAAAAGAATGAAATTATTTGAGTTTATTTTTATTTTTATTTTTTTTTTTTAACGATTTGAGTTTATTTACGTGTAATAATGACGCAATTAACAAATGGCAAATCTAATTTAGTTTAGAATCGTTATGAAATTTATTATTTCAAACTATTATTTTAAAATAATACTTCATTTTTAATAATTTATATTATTATATATATATTTAAATTTATGTAATTTTGAAATCTAAGTTTTTATTAATCAAATAATTAATATTATAAAAAAGATTTAAAATAAGTCATAAAAATTATGATTAAGATTATTTTAAATAATACTTATATTAAAAATCACTAAATCTTTTATTTGCTTCATTTTTAATATAAAATTATAAAAAATTTTAAAAAATAAATATTTAATAATATAAATATTTTTAATAATAATTTAAATATAGTTTAAATAATTAAATATAATATTTATTAATAATTTGATCCTAACCTTAATATTAATTCAACTTAATTTAATATAAATCTAATTCTATTTTAATTTTAAATCTTTAATTAAAATACTAATATATATTATTAATCCTAATCAAAATTTTTAATCTTTAATATATTCTTAAATTTAAATTTATATTAATTTTTATTTTAATTTTAATTTAATTTTCTATTTTAATGTTTTAAATAAAATATAATTTAAATTTAATAAATCAAATTCTTAAAATGAGAAATATATTTTATTAGTTATTATAATTATAAAATAATTTATATAGTTATTTAATATTCTTATTTAAATTTAATAATATTATTTAATATATTTAAATTTAATTTAAATTATAATTCTAAAATTTTTTTGTATTTTTTTTTCTTTAATATTTTAAATTTTATAATAAATTTAAAATTTATAATAAAATATATATACTTATTTATATATAATTTAAGTATATATAAATTAAAAGTTAAAATTAAAATAAAAATTAAAAAACTAATTTTAATTTTAAGTTAAATAAAAATTTAATATATTAAATTATAATTATGCAATTAAAAAGTTATAAATATAAAAGAAAATATATTAATTTATTTAAGAAAATATAATAAATCTTCATCTATTATATAATTTTATAATTTATTAATAACTTAAAAAGATTTTACTTTATCTTTGATTATATAAATTAAAAATTAAATAAACATAAAATATATTTTATTTATTTTTATAATATTAAAATTTTATTTATTATTAATTAAAAAAATTATGATATGTTAAAACTAACGAATAATTAAATTATTATATTTTATAATAATTAAAAATAAACTAAATAATAGAAACTATTAGAAAGTCTAAATTTAGTATTTAATTGATCAGTAAAAAAGTATACAATCATATATATAATAGACAAATATAGTAAATAAAATTGCATCAACTCAAATAACAAGTGGGTGATATTTACTAAATATCTATAAATTTAAAAAATTAAAAATTTAAACAATTTAACTTTTAATTCAATTAAATACAAAATAATATCACAATTACATCTATATGAAGATATAACATAAGATAATAATAAATGAATTTATAAGATTCCTTTATTAAATTCTTAGTTATTCCTAAAATAATATTTTAAGTTACTTTTTAACTCAAGGGAAAATATAAGATATTTATATAAAATAAAATATTATAAAATATATTATAACAAATAGATAAAATAAATAAATAAGATAAATATAAATATTCTATTAATTAAAATATAATAAATGATAATAACAATTAAAGTTAATCTATCTTAACAATGATCACTTTAGTAATTTAGTCTAATTTATCAACTTTGCCAAGTCCATTAATTATTTTAATCACATGACTAATTAAAATATAGTTACAAATTATAATTTTAATGAATTGATAAGCAAATTTATTAAGTTATTTTTTAAACTATAAAGATTCACAAATAAATTTATTTACTTATTTACTATAAATTTTCTTTTAATTTACTTTTATGAAAAATTAAAATTTAAAAAATTTTTTTTTAAAATTAATTTTATAAATATATATAATATTATAGTATATGAGGACTAAACTATTAAAATTACTTTACAGAATAAAAATTAATTTTGAGTAAATGATTAAAAAATGCTACGCTATAGTAAACATTTATAATTAATAATAAATTGTTCTATTTTTAAATATTAATTCGAATTTATTAATAAGATAATACTAAAATTTATTACTATTAAATTATTTTATAATTTTTAAAATTTTTAAAATTTTTTTGCTATTATAAAATATATAATTAAAATATTTTATAGGACTAATTTTTATAATACTTGAATTCAATTTTGTAACACTTGAGATTTTGCTATTAAAATTACCCTACGAGATATTATTACACCAATTTATTAGAAAATTTTTACAAAAGTTTATATTAAAAAAATTATTTTTATGTTAATTATTTTTTATTAAATACCTCGTCTCAATTCAAACTATTAATAATGGTTAAAAAATTTTGAATTTATAAGAGTCGCAAAACTTTTTGAACTTTAATAATAATGTCGATCATTTTCAATTTTTATATTGATCATTTCTAAATTATAATTTTATATTTTTTTTACTAATATTACACAAAATTATGAGAAATTTTGATGGCCTAATTGCTTGCTTTGTTAATAAGATAATCGACTTTAAAAATTTAATCAAATAAAGTATATATATCATATAATAATATGAATTAAAAATCTCAAATTTGTTTAGTAGGATCCTATAAGTTAATTTTAATAACTTAGCCCATATAATAAATAATTTAAGATTACTTATAAGCTAAAAAATTTGTAATTTTTAAAAAAATTATAAATTAAAAAATTATATCATTGATCTTTAACTATTTTATTAACATTTACTTTTAGTAATATTAATTATAATAGAATATTATAAAAATTATCATGAAGAATAACTTTAATTATTACAGTTTTTATAATTTACTAAGAAATTTTATGACTTTTATTAATAGTAAAGTGATTTAACTAGTTCACAAATATATGAATTTTAAGAAAATTTTTAAAAAATTATTATTAAAACTTAATTTTAAAAATTAAATTATTTAAATACTTCTTAATAAACTTAAATTTCTTCTAATAAAGTTGATAAAATATATATTAAACTATATATTTTATATAATAATAATATTATTAATGTTAATATTTTATTTTTTATTTAAAAATTAATACTTTTTTATATTCACAGGCAAATTTGCCTTCTTTACAATTTAAGGAATATAATATTTAATAGTTCTTATTTACATTTTAACTAATTAAATATACTTATTTTTTCTTATTAATTTTTTAAAATAATTATTTAACAAATTATTAAAATTGAATTATATTTATTTTAATATTAAAAATATTTTCTTTTTTTTTGAAATCATTTAGTATTTTCTTAATTAATGTTAAAATCTTTATCTAATTTTAGAATATATAGTTATATATATAATTAGTTATTTAACTTGATAAAAATACTTATTATTCATATTATATAGATTTCTATTTTGAGTTCTTATTCTAATTATAAGTAAAATTATTTAAATGTGTAGATTTATTACTAAATATTCTATAATATGTTAAATTTTATGAATATTAATTTTATTAAATACTAATTATTATTTATAAAATATTATAATATTTTCTTTATTAATTTTAATATGAAGATTTAAAGCTTAAAATTGCATTTTAGATAATATAATTAAATATTTAATAAATTTGTTTATAAGAAAAAAATATTAAATACACAAATTTTATTACATCACACTTCTTTATAAAATTATGATTAAAATATTTAATATATGCTTAAATCAGAAATAAAATAATACTAAAAAAGTAATTTAGAATTTGTTTTAAAACTAATTTTAAATTTAATATATTCTGAATTATTTTGAATTACAAATAATTCTTATTAATTTTAAATTAAATTAAAATTAATTTTAGAATAAATTTATTTTAAATTGATTATAATTATAAATTATATTTTTTGATAACTAATTTATATCATATATTTTATTTTTATAAATTCAATTTAATTTTTTTAATCTTAGCTTCATTTAATTTGTTAAATATATATTTATAGATGAAGTCTTTAAAAATAAAGAAATTAATACATCTACTTATAATAATTGCTTTTGAATGAGATTTTCATTAAATTTGGAATCAAGTTTGTATTTAATTCTAACCTTTTTTTAATATCATATCTTCAATATTTATATAATATAATCACAAACTAAACAATTTTATTAAAATTCTTTTTATAAGTTCAAGATCCTAATATTATTTTATTGATTTAGATTATTATTCATTAATAATTTCATATATAAGGTTATTATTGTATATATTTAACATTAGTAAAGGTTTATAGCCTAATTTTATTTTTCATATAATTGCACCTAAACTATAAATATCAGTTTTTTTGAAATTTGAGTAACATTAAATATTTAGGTGTAATATAAGATATGATACCATATATTTTATTATTTTGTAAATAAAATCTGCAATTGTAATAATCCTCTAATATAATACTTAATGTAAAACATTTTTTATAAATATTATGAAGTCTAAAAATCTAAGTATATTAATAATTAATTAATTAATGTTTAATAAATATAATTAATGTATTAAATATAATTATTTTATTGACATATTACATTTATCCTTTCACATTATATCTTTAAAATTATTTTGTAAATAATTATACAAATTTTCTCTTCAGCATATATTTAATTTACATACTTTTTTATCTCAGAATCTTATGTAATTTCATATATTTAATTATATCTATAAAACACTATTTCTTATAATAAAATAAATATTAAGTAAAAGTAAATATTTTTATAAAATACATATTAAATAAATATCTCATTTATAAACTTCTACTAATATTTTATTGCAATAATATAATTGTAATACCATATTCTCCTCTGCTACTTTTTCTAATCTTGTAAATTAAGAATATAGATTCACTCTATTAATAAAGAATTTTTACAATTACCAAAAATAAATCACAGATATGATTAACTATATAATTAATTGCTATTAAATTTTGTATCATAGAAAAATTTATTATAATTGAATTTCCTTTAAAATTAAACCTACTTATCTTTTTACAATGATAATTAGTTAAATGAAATTCTAATAAAAAAATAATATTGAACTTTCATCTCAAATTTGCAAACCCTCAACTTTTATGATATTAAACTTGAAATCATCTCAAAACTAATAAACTTAAAATTACAATTATCTCAAAGGCCTTTTCTAAGAGAAATTAATCAAAGCAATTTATTATCATGATTTACTTATTTAGTAAGTTATCACGATCAATCCTATGATAAGACAAGAAGAAAGTTGAAAGTATAAAATAGTAACTTTATTAACTTGAAAAGTTTATAAGTCTAGTCTCAAGACTTATTTCAATTTCTGAGCAAAAACTTTTATCATTTGTAGTTTCTGAAGTTTTTTTAAGAGATTAATCTTATACATTAGCTAGTGATATATATAGTTTTCTATGATTATGTGGGAATTTATATCAGAAATTTCTCCATTTCAGCATGAAGCTCATGATTTTTAACTTAGTTTAGATATTTGTAAAGGTAAACATTCTAAAATTATTAACAATACTCTTAAATATTATATAAATTTAATGAAAAAATATTGGAATATAGATCTATTAAAAAGACCAACTGCATTAGAAATTAAATAAATTATTAATAATTAGTATGAAATATTAAAAATAAAGATTTTGATAAAAAATTTATAAATGATATAGTAGAATTTTATAAAGCAAATAAAGCATTAGAACAAAATAAAATAATAATATATTAAATAATAATATTATTATTAAATCTCATTCACAATATTATATTGGGTTTCGTAACTTCAAAAAATCACAAGTGAGAATTCACAATAACATCAAAGAATTATTCTCAATAATAAACATGTGAGATAAACACAAAATAAACACAAAGATAACAAAGATATTTCAGAGATTATGCTTCAGAGACTCCAAGTCAATACAGCAAATCAATACAATATCATATAATAAGTTAACTAACAAAAAGAATTACACAAATGCAAAGGATCACAAATAATGTATAATAGTTTCAAAGGGTTTTGCGAAGGATAAGTTTTATACTTGATTAATTATACTCCTTTATTAATATAATAAATAAGTTCAGTACCTAAAAGATTAAGATCTCGTCAATTACCTTTGTCAAAAAGGTAATGAGACTTAATAAAAATACAAAGATATTTATACATATCAAATAATTAAATAGACTAAACTAAAATATTTAAAGGAAATAAAGTTGCCATTTTGCTAGACAATAAAGTTGCTGTGTCAATAAAATTGCCAGATCTGCAGGCAACTAAATGGACATCTATAATCTACATGATTATCAAAGGCAATAAAATTAACATCTAAGGATTTATATAATTGATCGACGGCAATAAAATGGATAAAATGATCTTTATAGAAGATCTATATGGCAATAAAATTGACTTTATATTCCACCAATTAAGTCTATCTAAAATTTTATCTGTTACAACGTACTAATCTTACTATCACAGATGCATCAATAATTATTAGTCTTAAAACATAAATTTGAAGTGGGCAAGATTAATTAACATTTTTATGAAATTTACTATCATAAAAGATCAAATTTATAGTATTATCTGTTAGAATCACACATGCATGAAATTGTGAAATTAATTATCACATTTAAACTTATTTTTTGCTAGACACCTTCCATTGTAAGTATAAAAATAAGTTAAAAGTTCATAAATAAATTCCTTCTATTTATTCTAAAAATCACTCTTTTATATGCATAAAAAAATAAGTAATAATAATTTTTTAAAAGATTTAATTAAATAACCAATTTGATTCATAATATATATTATTAATAGTAACATATTTTAATGCAAATTAAAATTATATATTATATTAATTAGATATAACATTATTTATTATTTAACAAGACAAAAATGATGATTCAATTTTTTACTCAAACTTAACAAATATCTCATTATTACATTTAATATCATAATAAAAAAATTTCATTCATATCTAATTGTTGAATAATCATTGATATCAAAATATAATTTGAGATAAAAAATGTAACACATATATTTCTTCCAAATTTCTTTAAAATAACTTTCATAAAATCGTCTAATCTCTAAATGATCTTCATCCAATAATAATATAAATATCCTATTTATTATTAAATTCTCATAAGTTTCCATTAATAATTATGTCATCCTTTCTAAACAGTACCATCTATCAAAATTAATTTATTTGCTCACAAATTATGTCAACAATCACTACTATAATGATGCAATCCAAAAATAATCCAGTCCAATTAAAGCAATTAGACGCGTTAGTAAAATATAGATATAAAAAAGCAAAAAAAAAATAACCAATACATAGCAAACCCAATCCACAGAAATTTTTGTTAATTATCATCTCTATCATGTCCCCACTTTCTCATCATCTAACAATCTATTTATACTACATATCTCCATCATTTCACAATTCATTAATACTACATATATTTATTGTTTCCAATCCAAAAAATTTACATTAAAATCACTCTCATCTTATTGATACATTCTTTTTGAGATCTAATATAAGGATGCATTTTAAGACTGATAAATATATTTCTTTGCATATAATACGTACATATTAGTTATTGAAAATTTTTCATTGTTAAAAGATCTAAAGGTAGTATTCCAGTAAAGTAGATACTTTAGTAAAATATTAATGTAAAAAAAGCAAAAAATAACCAATACAAAAGTAAACCCTTTCAGCAAGATAATAACCTAAAGCATACTTCCTGTAATGTTTAAAATGACTTAAAAACTCACCTTTCAGGTCAGGTTCTTTCTTGGCCTTCCTATAGTCCTGACCTTAATCTTATTGAGAATGTTTAGGCTATTTTAAAGAAAATGTTAAGAAAGAAGTCAAGAGAATAGTGGTACAAAGAAAAAAATCTCAAAAGAAATTTTTTTAAATTTAATTAGGAAAGAATGGGATGATATTAAAAACACCACAATAGTTAACTGCATTAATGGTATATCAAGCACATTAAAGCATGTATTGATGCAGAAGGAGGCTATACTAAATATTAATTAATTAATAAAATATATGTAACTTTGGTCGGTCTTTCAAAAAATAAAATTTTTTTTGATTTTTTATTATAAAATTACGCATAAATTATTAAAAAACTGAGTGCTATTACTTGTGCAAGTGTCTGTATTTTCACAATTTTTGGCTTGTTTCTCATCTTGAGCTGCTGTAGATTTTTTTACCAATTTTATTAAATAGTTCGAAATATGTTTAGGGGGAAGGATTAAATAATGATGTTAGTCAAGCAGGTGGTTTTATAAAGAGCATGTGTCCACAAGAAGGAGAATTTTCTGATTTTATTTTCTTATTTTTGTATCAAGTTTTTTATGTAATCATTTCAAATTGAAACCTGTATCCAATTATTTAGGTTCTAATAGTTGATACAATAAATTTTTTCAACAATTTCAGGTCTTGTAGCAGCATATAATTGTGTTAAAGCTTCATCATCAGGTGATAATGCAAATAAAGTAGAACAACAGTTCTGAGCACTTTGGTAATGAATCCATAACTACTGATTGGTCCTCTTAATAATTCAGTTTCAACAAACCCTAAAAGATATTTTTTTTAATTTTATTTACAATTGTCTTTTATAATAAGAAATTTCTTTTTTTATATTATACCTGGATGAATAGAATTAACGTAAACTTCTTTGCCTTCAAGTTGTTTTGATAATGATTTGTAAAAAGGATGTTGGCAAGTTTTCAAACTGCCACATTAGAAGCTGCACCAGAATAAAGGTCAAAATATGACATCAAATGTGAAGTTTATAGTTTTGGTATACTACTTTAGGAAATTGCCAAAGAAGAGACTCCCTATAAAAATTTGAAGATACCCTCGAGATTACTAATCTTGTTTGAAACAATAATGTCGTGAATCATTTTCTCTTGGTTCTCCTTTGCCAAAAGAATATAAAGAGCTCACAAAAAAAGTATTAATGTACTATATATTTTTTTCAATTTGGTTTTTTTATATTTAAAATCTCAAACTTCTGTAAATTTACTATTAAAAATCTAGCTGTTGAACATGATCATAATTTTATGCCTCAACTTTCAAAGATTTTGCAAGATCTTTTTAAAAGAAATACACCATCGCCTAGTTCCAAAATCATGCCAATACATAATGAAAATCTTGTAAATGATAAAAATCTCTCAGAATTTAGATTAATGTCAGTAGATGATGAATCGGCGAAAAAACATAAATTTAATAATGGCAACCGTGAGTTAGCTTATAAATGTTTTGAAGAAGATGCAAGATTAAATGATATGAAAGCAAAATACTGTAAAGCATATTACATTCAACAAAAGTTTTGTTAAACTTGATAGGAACCAAACAATAAAGACAAATTAATGGCAGAGTTATATAAAGAAGTAGCAAATTCAGGTGATCCTGAACCTCAATTACGTTATGGTTCTTGTTTATATAATGGCACAGAGTTAAAAAGAATTTAAAAGTAGCTGCCGATTATTTTACCAAGGCCGCCGAATTGACCAAGTTATTGGTATGTAATGCTAGTTTTTTCGTGGCTGCGTTAATTATATACCCCAATTATTAAAATTCTTTAGTAAAAAATTTTCTTAACACAATACAACTGGGTGATATTATATTAAGCCATCATAAATTTTTCAATAAAAGATTTATTTTATTATTTTTAATAAAATGATTATAAAGGAATATAAAGTAATTTTCGAATTTTGCAAATGTTAAAGAATTAGGAAAAATGTGCTCTTTAATGGTATCGCGTCACGCAATTTTATTTTGGTAGAAGTATCACCATAAATATTAAAAAAATATTCAAGTGTAAGATTTGAATTACGTGTGGATCTTTAAACATTTTCGTTTATAATTAAATTTAATCAACTACTTGATAAAATGATTCAACTTTGAAAAGTATTTATTACATTTTTAAAGAGATAAAAAAAAAAGTAAAAAATTAATTATCTTTAAAAATATTTTATACTTTGTTTTGAAGTTATCCCGTAAAATCACTAATATAATTTTAGCCTATATTAATGATTATATAAACTTCGTATTATCTCAACCTCGTTCGTTACAATCGTTTCATGAATTTAACATTGCTAAATTCCTAGTATTTGATAAGTTTTCTTGAGAACAAATTATGTATTTAGTGACGAAAATTTTTGGAAAATAAAAATGCACTTGTTAAATAATGTACCATAGATATGTAATTTATTTATTACTTTATGAAAAATGAAAAATAATGATTTAACTGATTCCCAGCTACTACATCATGAGATTTATTCAAAATCATTTGAATTCTCTAATACTTTGTTCGAATAAAACTAACCCAAAATAAAAAAATAAAATTAAATAAATAAAATTCAATTTTTTGCTTTTTAACAAGATACATTTATACAAGTGTATTATAGTTAGTATGAGATAATAAAGTTTCAAATATTTTCTCGCCGCATTTCTTTAATATTTTTTTTATTTTTAATTAAATACGTGTCATAATTATCATATGCAATCTATATAAAAAGAGAGAACATCTAATTCTCAAATAAAAATATATAATATGTTTAAAATTTATTTGTTTCGAGAAAAACTTGAAGCTGGCCAAGATTTATCGTGATCGTTACAAAATGGACGAAAATTCTCCTTTTTATAAATTTAATTTTTTCTTATTATTTACCTTTTAAAAACAAAAATTATTGGATCTTAATTTTTTATTTTCAAATGAGATTTCATTTTAGCACTTCATTACAAAATTGATGGACTTGAATTTTTTTTTTTTTGTTTTATCAAAAGTACTTATCAATATGCCCTTTAAAACTCTCCGAAAACAAACTATTAGTATATAAAATGTTAATTTCATAATCTTTTTAATACTTTACCATTCTTCATTGGGTGTTCCATCAACTTTGTATATCAAAACATATGTACAGCTACATTGAATAAAATTTCGCCCGAAGATACTTTCGATATTTGAGTTAGTCCTTTGAAGATCATTTTGACAGTGCCAGGTGTTAGGATGGCAGGATGCCAGGCTGTCCTAATAATTATTTGTATTTATAAATACGGAAATTCTTAAACAACTTAACATTCCACGCTCGTCCTTCTTATATACAACTTAAAAACATTCCTTTAATCCCTTCGCGTTATTTTAATTTTCGCCGTTTTAACATTTAAATTTTATAATTGTAACTTATTTTTTTTAATTTCCGATTTTCTATTATTTCGTAATTGCGCAGTTTTAATTAATTAGAGTTTTATTGATTGGGCATTTATTTAGTACATTGCCAAAAGTGTAGTGCGCGACAACACTGATTAATTTGATATTAATAAAGTTAGCGACAATATTACTTCATTTTACTCATTTAAAATTGTTTATACCATCCTAGTCAAAAAAATGATCTACAAGACTAGCCACATTTATCGAAAGCAATTTACAAGCGTAAATCGTGATCTTTCGGGCGGAATTATTAATCCGGAGCG